CTTATCGTTCTCCTCTCTTCTGGGATACTTTCTTTTGTTCTCGTAGGCTCAGATTGACATTTACAACTATTTTGTTGTTGTCCTTGTGTGCTTCGGCTCGGTGGGTGTCATCTTTGTTGATGAGCGCAATGTGCTGTCAGACTGTTTCAATGCTGGTGTTAGGGCGTCGGTACATTTCATGTTGGTAAACCTAACTCGGTCGTGAATTTTGTTTTTTCATTGTCCTCATTAAGCCGCTCTGCTACATTGGTGTGTGTGTGTGTGTCTTCTTTGGTTATGTGTGTTATACCTTCACTTTCAGTAAACTTTTGGACATTGTTTTTCTTAGCGAAAGCGCCATCGTCATCGGAATGCACCCACATACTTTATCCAATTTTTTGCAACTCTCTCTCAATGCTTTCTCAACACTTTCACCATCTCTATTGAACATAGGCACTACGCCCGCTAATTTGCTGAAGATATCAGGTACAAGTAAAGCATATTCTGGCGTGTCTTTATCCCCAACAAGCGGTGTCATGTGCATTATGTCTATTTGATGGTCATAACGGGCAAACGGTGCAGTAAATGAATTGGTGCTTCTGTAATTTCTTGATTTGTTTATTTGGTTTTCTCTGTAAGAAAGACTCAACACCCTCTAATGTTATTGTTGGGTCTTCTTCTTTTGCTTTTTCTGAGTTGCCTGAATACTACCATAACCAGTATCCAGATTGTAAAAGCGAGGTTAAACAGATGCCCGACAAAAAAGTCATTAGGAACACGGTTTACAACAGGTTTAGACAAAGCATTAAAACCAGAATATGGACGTGATAATATGTTATAGTTTTATACTATGATAGTGCTTTCAAGTTTCATTATAATTTGCTTTTCCATAGCAACGATGCTCACACATCATGTCATTCATTTAGTGTTTCAATGTGTAGGGATTTTCTGAAAGCGTTGAAGTGGCAATAAATTGAAAACAAAGACAAGGTCGTTTATAAAACATTTTTGATAACGCTTTTTATCATAGATTTGTTTCTTATTTGTTAGAAAAGAAAAGGTTGATTATAGTTTGGTTTAACCATAGAGATTCTGATGATATTGATAGTGGTTATGCTAGAAAAGAAAAGGTTGATTATAGTTTGGTTTAACCATAGACATTCTGATGATATTGATAGTGGTTATGCTTAAGTTTATTCAGATTATTTAATCATAATATGATTAAACATTGTTTTATAAACTAACAAGAAGGTTAAGACATGTAAATTAAACCTGAAAAGAAGACTAACCGAATAGTCGCCCCAGTCCGAAAACTACTTAACAATATACAAACCTTATATAGTAAGAGAAAATGGGCGAGAGCAAAATGTCTGAGAATAATTTTAGGGTTGAGAATTGGACAAACTTACCTGAGGGTTTAGTATTAAGAAGGAAAACTAATAATTTACTTGTTGAAGTATTGAGTAGTATTATATCCTTCAAATTTGGACAACCAGAGCATATGATAATAAACCATTGTCACAATAAAGCATTTATGAGGATACAAAGAAGATTTAAAGTAAACAGACTGGAAACAAACATAAAAGCAAAGATTGTTACAACTGATGTGGTTGGTACAGTAAAGAAACATTTTTTGAATATTACCTTTCAAGGGAAGTGCCATTAAGCGTTGAGAGTATTGAAGATTTAGTGATGAAAGAAGGAGATGAAATAGACGCATTAAGAGATATGCATGTAAATGATGACGATTATGAAGACGACTATGAAGCAACTATAGTAGTTGATGCAGACGTAAGGGCAAGATTTCATCATTTAGTTTGGAGCTGATTTTAAGTAATTAAACCTGATTTTATGTCTTCCTGCAATACTCATTCTCTCTCTGGCATCATCTATATCTCTACTTCCTGTTGCAAGTGCTTCATCCATTACACAATATATTATTTTGGTGTATCGAAAAAATAGAGTCAAGACCACTATTAAAATCAAAACTCGGAGTACTCAAATCGTTTTCTTAATCAGAAATTATGGTGTGCTTCATTTACAACCTTATATGTTATAATTACACTGTAATTTTGACCTATAACAAATTTCCAATGACGAAAATGATGTCAAAACACATGCACCAACCAACACCCCAGACATAATAACTACTAAAAGGGCTACGTCATTGAAATGAAAGATTGTCAGCCGCCAGCCCAACAATGAAACAGGCGACAATTTATCCAAATGACAACCTTGACGAAAACGATAGATAACCTCCCCAACAACACCCTTTTCAAAACGAAGAAGGTGGGTCAACAGGTTTGGGGTGAACATAAAAACCAGAACAGGCAACCCTCAACACCCCACCCCTCAGTCCCGCCCTTTTTACCATTGTTTGGCGGAGGCGGGGTGAATTACAGCCTTTCCTTGGAGTTCTTGAACCATCGCTCCAGAAAGGGCCTTGGCATCCCGATTGGTGGTGGTGTAGTGCTCTACTTTTGTGATAGCATTGCAACAGTCGAAAGTGGTTGCAATTCCAACAGCCGTGCCTCTTGGGGATGCTGGCCTTCATCTTGTGCCCAGGGTCTCGTGATGGCGCCTCCAGCTATGTTGCGGTGAGGGAGGCTGGGGCGGGCGTAAAACGCCGGGCCGCGGTAATGATGGAAGGGCTGTTTGCTTGGGCTGCATCGAAGGCGCTCGTTTCCCCTGAGGTTCCCACCAACCCGAACCGCGGCCTTGTCTTTTGGCAATGTTCCGCGAAAAGCAGCCACAGACTGGAGCAATTTGGCAGCCACTTCTGGAAACCACTCCTTTTTTTGCATTTTTCAAATCAGTGTACGAGGCATGTTTCAATCGCCCTCTTGCAAAGCTGCCGGTTTTCGCCCTTCGGAGATGAAGAATTCTTCCTTCGACTGGCGCCCCCATCCCCTCGCCGCTCAAGGCCGTGGCGTCGCTGTGGCGCTGGGAGCCCTTGCCCGACCAGTGGCCCGGCACCGACCCTTTAAACCGTGGCACGCGGAGCGTGGGCCGAGCGTTTTTTTTTTTTGGGGGGGGGGTCTTCTGTTGCCAGCTTGTGTTTTTTTTTGCTCTGAGATTTGATTGCTCTGACTGATTGTTCTCTCATGAATTCAAAGCTAAACATTGTTAGTGTGAGCGGAGAAAAGTAAAAATGAACAACGAACATGTAACTCAGAGTCACCACACGTATCAGCGTTGTTCTCAGCGATATATCCTATGTTAAACTGCGATGGTGGATGACAGACAAGCTCTCCTTTTTTTCCCCAACAGCTGAAAGCTTTGGGGTCTCAGCCCAGACAGGCTCCGGGGTGGTCCGGGGCGGCCCTGAGGTAAGGTTCCACGAGGGTTCCACCAGGGTTCCACGAGGGTTCCACCAGGGTTCCACCAGGGTTCCACCAGGGTTCCACCAGGGTTCCACCAGGGTTCCACCAGGGTTCTACCAGGGTTCCACCAGGGTTTCACCAGGGTTCCACGAGGTTCTGCGAGGGCTGCGGGGTAGTGCGAGTACGAAAAAAAGCACCGCGTGCTGTTGGGGATATCACCTGAGTTTATGTTCTATTCACTGGTTCCTGTCATTGGTGGGAACCTGATCGAAACAACCAAAGACGGCAAGATGTGGCGTTTGAATCCATGTCTCGCGGAGCCTTTGTACCTTGGCATTTGTTGCGATGCATTTTCGGCGATCCTTGTCACAGGAACGTGGTGCTGCGCGTCATCTCGGGCAGACACACTGGCGCCTTGCTGTCTCTGCAGACGGGCACGCTGCCCGAGGATCTCCGCTGCTTGGCTGGCAGTTGGGGGGCGGTGTGGGGGGGCCTTTGCCTTTGTTGGCTGCCCCCGGTGTGGTGCCTTTGCCTTTGTTGGGGGGGTGGTCTTGACACACTGAGGTGACGACAACTCGGTTTATGCCATGGTTCATATGTGCCCCGGCCGCAGGACTCACGTCTTTGCAAGAGCGAGGAAGGGAGGGTGTGGCGGGTGTGGGGAGTGGCCACGGCCTCCCGCGATATCCCGCGCCTTTGGTCCATGGCCCGGCGATTGCAACGCGTTCGGGCCGCCCAGGGACCCCGCCTTTGCCACGGCCTTCCAGCTGACACCGACGACCTGAAGCAGCCGACGCGCACGGCATGCGGGCGGCGGAGGCCCAGGAAGTTTTTGCGGCGCGAGCTGGACGAGCTGCAAGGGGCGCGCGCGCGAGCGAAGGAAAAGCAGAAACGCGCGCGAGGGTGCCGAAGGCTTGTGAAACTTTGAAGGATTTCGGGGGCCTAGGCCTAATCCAAGGGGTGCCTGCTTTGTGTGTTGAGGCAGCTGTTCACCTTGCAGGGGGCGGTTTTTGGATCTGAGGTCAAGCTCGATCAGAAGGGTGCGCCTTTGCGGCGTAAGGTGCGGCCGTCCGATTGATCCGTCGCGGTTTTCCGGTTTTCGCTTAGCATGGCCGCGGGCGGAGGCCGCAGGCTCAGTTGGCTATGGGGTTCCTCATGCTCGTGCTGGCCTCGCGCAAATTTGCACTGTATGTGATGGGAGTGAAGAGGTCAACGTTGAACCAACTGCCCGTGCCTCGCGTGGGAATTTTCATGGGTTTAGCATCCTTCCTGTTGGGGAGTGAATAGGAGGGCCCAGGTGCAAGATCAAACAAATCAAGCAGGGACACAATAGCTGGTTCACTGATACAAGGCTGGCATGTGCTTGACTGCTCCAATGTAGCCAGGAGAAGAAATCCACGCGGGAGATAGAACTCAAGGCGGGCGGAGGAAGGGCTTTGTCCGCGGGTGGGATGACATGGTTCCACAATAATGCGTCGGGAATAGCGCCTTGAGAATGCAAAATTTGCCTGCAGGGGCTGTTGCTTGCATGTTGCTGACCAGTGAACGCACAGGCGTCACGCTCAGCCGCTGTGGGATTCGCGTGCTGTTGGTCCTTTGGCTCAGGGTTGCGGCTTGCGCAACTCCATCCATTCGGCATACCGGCAGGCAGCCTGGGGGAGTCGCATTGAGGCGCTTGAAGTTTACTCAGCACCCTCCAGCCAGCTCAAACCACCCCACAGGGGGCCGTCCGCCAGACATCGTCCCACTGGAATTTGGGCATAGCTGCGCTCCAGAATGCTGGGCACCCTGCTGGCTTTGGCAGCTTTCCAGGCTGGGGGCGTGCGTCGCGCATCCAAACTAGGAAGGTTTTTCCCGAGACCATGGGTGACACATGGTGATGATACATTGCTTCCACGTGCACTTCCGGAGCCTGAGTTGGTTCCATGCTGGTGCAATCCCTTGATCCGTGAAAGCACATGCGCGGCAAAGCCGAGGAATTATGGTGGGCCCAGGGTGCAACTCCAATAGGGCGCCACGGAAAGGGTTGGCATATGTTGGGCTCCTGCAAATTGGTGTTGCCATTTCTCAGGGTTCCATGTCGGCTCAAATCCGATGCGGGTCCAAGGTACAAGAAAACAAGGATAAACGAAAAGGGTCTATGTTGGGTTCCTTGAAATTGCGCCTTATTTCAGGTAATCTCCGATTTGACGCAAAGGATCATTCAAAGCATTTGATGAACAGCAGGCTTGTCACCATGCACACCCCCATATATTCCGGAGAAATCTGGAGACCGATTTGTTTGTACACAACAAAGGCAGGGAATTAGACGGGATGCCATCGTTGTTTTTTTCTTCCTCCTGGGAGCCATGCCCCAAGTTGGCTTTGAGACCAGGGCGCCGAGCCCCTGGAGACCGCGGCGCCGGATTTTTCTCGGGCCGCGGGGCGCCTGCGCTGGACGGAAAAAACTTAAAACAAACGCGAGACTGGGATGTCTCAGCTGGGCTCAAGCGGAATTAAGTTGTTTGTGGAAATGGTTGCGTGTTTGCACGGGGACATGATGGATGCCGCACAGCGCAGCGAGTAATTTCCATCATCATGCAGAGGGGAGTCGTCCACTCATTCTGGGCACGATGTCTATTTGCTGGCAGGCACACGCAACAAACAAACAGCCCGCTACGAAGAAACTGGGTCTCTCACCCCTCTCATTTGGCATTCACGCAACTGCTGCCTCATCCCCCCCCAACTTCTGTTTGGGACACATTGGAACACTCAACACCGGGCAACACCGGGCTCTGGGCAACACTGAACACACTTGACACTGGGCAACACCCAACACCGGCAGAAGGATTCTCTTTGGAGCCCACCCCCCGCCGCCGCGCGGCCCAGACACCGGCAGGATGTGCCGCCAGGAGCGGGCGAATCCGCCCGCGCTGGTGTCCTCCTGGGTGCGGCAACGCTACGAGGCTCCTTTGATGCGGGGCCACGGGGGGGACCCGTGCACTCGGGCATCACGGGTTGGTTCGCCTTGGAGTGGGGTTGTTTTTGCGATTGCTTGTCATGTGATGTTGCCTGGTTTTTGCGCTTCCGCTGGTCATTTGTGTTTGTCCATCTTGCTTTCCTATGATGTGACATTGTGTGTTTTCCTTGTTTTGCTTCAAGCGGTTTGTCTGCACGTCTACTGCGTTGAACGCTTGCCATCTTTGCTGACAGTGACTTGCCACGTTTGAAGCAAGCCATATAATCTGTTATGTGTTCTCACCCGAACCCCAAAGTGTGTTTGACAGGTTTGTTGCAAACCGCGGGTGCGGCGTCCCATTTCCGTCGCGTTTGGCCAGTGTTTGCTGTCAAGTTCCCTCAGGTGCTTGGCCTTCACGACCTGCCAGATCGAGGTGACCCCGGAGAGGACCGGGGCTTGATTCGCATGGCTTGGGGAGCGGGCGGATTCCTTGGTCCTTTGGGTGTTTTGGGTGTGTTGGGTAGGTGAATGGATCGGGATGTCACTTTGGGTGATTTGCATCTTGAAAAAAGGGGATCGAAGCACAGCCTTCGTATGGAGTGCCCGGCTTCCGACTCTGGGTCCAAAGGTTTAACCTTGCTGGTGAATCGCTGGCTACTTCTTATTCATCCCTTCCTTCCTGGCTCACCTAGACTAGGTCCCCCAGTGCCCTTTTATCGTTTCTTCGGGAGGGTTCCCCTACTAAAATAGACTACAGAAAAAAGGGCACCCTTATTGTAACCTGTCTACAAGAGGGCCTAGGAGAGGAGTTTGGCAAGACGCAGGGCTTGCGCCAGACAAATCGCATCTTTTCTGTGCCGGCGGTTAGGAGCTTCAGCCGCGCCGGCAGCCGGAGGCGCGGGCGAAGGCGGGGGAGCTCTTGGTGACCTGGAGCACCAGCCAGGAGACCTTCGTGCGCCGACCAACGGGGATCAGCTGGTGCAACCGGGGTACCGAACTGGACAGTTCTTTGGTGGCCTGGCTGAGGGCTGTGTGTAACGCCCAGGGTGTGGGGGGTAGCTCAAGCAGAGAGCAGGATTGCCTTACACATTTTTGGGATGTGTGTTGAGGACGGTAGGGGCCCTTACCAGTAGAAGCATACATGGCTGCCCGTATGTTCTGGGCTTCCCTCAAGACAAGGCAATGGGCAAGGTGAATTCGTCCGGAGCTTTGCGCAACGCAGGACTTGCCCTCGGTGTTGGCGCAGTTCGTTGCTGGCCAGCTGTCACCCGAGCAGGCCGGAAGCACCCAGCGGCCAGCGCCCATTTGGTTTCAAGCCTTGGGCGCCAAGGAACCCCGCGAAATTGTCCTTTTTTCCTTGGAAGGCTGGGTCCCCCAGTCCCCCAGTAGTGCCCTTTTACCCCTTTTTTGGGGAGGGCCCTACTAAAATAGACTACACCCAGAAAAAATCTACTGGAGGAAGGAGCTCCAGGACCTGGGTTCGGTTTCTGGGGGCTGTCCAGCTGGTTAGGTGTGGCAGACCTGCGCGGCCCGCTCCCTCGCCCGGGCCTTGGAGGGCGTGGCCGAGGCGGGGTTGCCTGGGTTTGATTGGGCTTCCGTTCGGGGGGGGGGGGGGGGTTTTCTGGAGAGGCACCATTTCGAGAAAGAGAAAGAATTTAACATCTACCCTTTCCCCTTCAGCCCCAAGGGGCGCAAGACTGAAGGCGGCAAGCCGCCTGGGCCGCCTGGGTGTCTCCTTCTTTTTCCTGGCGCGGCTTTTTTTGTGAAGAGACAGGCACCCCCCCATGTTCACGACCTTCATAACCCCCATGAATGTATGGGTCATTACACCGAAGCGGGCCAGGGCACCGCAGGTTTCAGTCCGTGTTTCCATTTCCCAGGGCAACCCATTTCGAGTACCCCTTTTTTTTGACCCTTTCCGTCTCAGGAAAGTTGCAAGGTGCTCGGTTTCCCTGGGTCCTCTTCTCTTTTTTTTGGGTGGGGGGAGGCGGGTTCCCTCAATTCAACCGGCACGAAAAAAGCAGAAGCAAGAACAAAAAGACAGCCGGTTTTTCCCATGGACATCCGCCTCATGGCCTCTGAGATCCTCCCATAGAGGCGGACTGCAACTTCCTGGCCAGCGCCTACCTGGTGAAACACCAGCGCTGGGAGGCGGCGCGGAGCTGGTGGACGCCTGGCCGGCGAGGCGTTTTTTTTGGCCAACAAAAATCCTGGAAACTTTGCTGTGGGTGTGGGTGTGGGTGTGGGGGTGGGTGTGGGTGTGGGGGTGGGGGTGGGATGCTTGGCGCCAGGTGCAAATTTTAGGGAGGATCTGGGGGTCACCCCTTCCTTCTTTTGGGGTGTCCCCGAAAATTGTGAATTTGGTTTCCTTGCAGTTTTCCGTTGGAACCACCAGTTCTCAAACAACCCCCCCCTCCCCTTTCAGTTAGCGTGGCTTTGCTGGGCTTTGCTTGCTGATGGATTCCAGCGCGAGACTTGGCGTGCTTTGCAAAGCTGCCCTTTTGGGTTTTCATCATTCTTCGCAAAGCCACGCAATGCCACAATGCTTTGGTTGTCAGACGTCAGGGTTCCACGCCTTCTGAGTCTTCCTTGGGGAGCATGCTACACCTGGGCTCCCAGCTTCACGCAATGTTTGAAGCACTTTCTGGGATTGTTTTGCACTTTAAGTGGCGTAGATGTTCACTAGTTCGTTTGGGAAAAGCTGACTTTTCACTCTGCAGAAATCGAGTTGCTCCTGGTTTCAAGCGGGGTTCCTGGTGGAGGTTGGCTTCGAGATTTGTCCATCCACAGGGAACTTGCTCGCGAGGGCTGTTTGCTGAAGGCAGGAGCTTCTCCCTTCAGGAAAGGGGTCCCAAGCGGATTCCGATCGATTGCGCCACCAAACCGCGCTCACGCGATGTTCGCGCCAAACGATTGTCAGAACGCATGGCAATGTTGGCCCAAGTTAATCAACCCCTGTTTATCAACAGGGGTCCCGGTGTTTTGGGTTTAACGGGGACCCCCCACCCTATTAAAAAGCAGGGGTCGGCAAATCATGACATTCTCTCTTGGGTTGCTCTAGGGGTGGGGTGCCAAGATGGACTCCATGGCAAGGCCATCGGGCACCTTCTGAGGAGCTTCTCCCTGCTGCAGCGCCGGGCGCCGGGCGCGCTCGCGGTCGGCGCAGACGGGCAGCCGGAGATGCTCGACTTGGCCAAGCTGCGGTTCTGGGAGGAGCAGCTAGGCGTGGAGGGGGAAGAAGGGCGGGAGGGGGGAGGGGGGGAGGGGGAAAATTCAGGGGGGGGGAGGGGGAGGGGGCATGGGGCAGGGTTGTTCCATTCCGCGCCTTACTGTTGCAGCCATGGTTGAAACACCAAGATTGTTGAACTAACCTCCTCTTGGTTTCTCTTCAATGGTGACTTGGGTTGGTCGTTCGAGCAATATTTCCATTCCGTCCTTCCACGCCCTTGCGCAAAAATCAATCAATCGGTGGGCGAGCTGGGAGAAGCGCGGAACCACAACTCAGAATGTCCCGCGCCAAGCTGAGTTGTTTGTGTTGCATTTGCACCCTGAGAGGAAACATAACTAGAGCTTTTCCAGTTGCTAAAGCTGCGCCCTTGCTCAAAATCAATCCATGTTTGCAAAAAGAACAAAGGAACAACTGGGAGAAGCACAGAACCACAACTCAGAATGTAAACTTTGCTGCATTTTGCTTGGATGTTAGGACTTTAACTTTTTGCCAATTCATGGTTTTCCAAATTAAACCACTAAAAGTTATTCACTTTTAGCAGGGGAGCAGAGTATGGCCATGGAAAGGTTTCGCAGATCTTCCTTCGAGACTTTTGGTGGGCCTCTGGGAGGCTTCCTGGCCCGGCGCTTTCCGCGGCTCGCGGAGAGCGCACAGAAGGCGGCGGCGCTGCGGCGCGAGGCGAGCCGCTGGCTGGCAGGCGGCTGCGGGGCTGTGGGCTGTGGGGGGCCAGGCGGAAGGTCTCTACTGCGATTGGGTTGGATCTTTAGACTTCAACTCTTTTTTGGAAATCGATGGGGTTTTCCATTACACCCACAAAAAGTTGAAGGTTTCGCAGAGGGGTCAAGAGCAACCAAGAGGTGAGGTGGGCACTCGAGAGCTGGTTACAGGCCAGGGCTTGGTTCACTTGCCCCACTTGTGCCGGCCAAGTGGGGGTGGATTTCGCTCACGGTGCCCCAAATCTAAGTGTTGGCCATCCCCTCTTCCGCCTCACTACGCAACGGGCCTTTCAGAGACGTTCCATGGCCGGGTTGATCAAATCTGAAGGAGTTCGTTTTTTGGCAGCAGAAAAGAGCGGCGTGGAGGTTTTCAAGCACCAGCCACTTCTTCTCGTTGGTGGTGCTTTTGCGCTTTTGCGCTTTTGCGCCCACGACCAATTGCAAGGCGCTTGCATTGCAACGAGCTTCTGGGCGGGGAAAGGAACCCTTGATCCTCTAGGCGCTCCACCCGTTGCCCGGAGACACCCTCTCCAAATCACCTGAAGTCTCCAGCTCCAACCCCAACGAGTTCACCCCACCCCAACTCCACCCCGTTGACCAAGAACTCCACACCCAACTCCAACCAGACTTCCTCGCAAAACCGTCGTTTGGGTATTTTGGTAAAATCCCTCGCAACAGGAATTCCTGGATTTTGAACGGCGAAATTGGCTTTGAATCCTTCGCAAAACGGCTTCCTGGATGTTGAGAAAACTGCCACTTGCCACCCTCGGACCGTATTGGAAACCCCTGCAGCCTCGGTAAACGGGGGGCCCACTTGCCACCCTCGGCAAAAAAGATCTCCGCTCGTTCCTTGAAGGCTCCCTGGACCGCGAGAGCCTGGTGGCTGCGGCGAATGCCTCCCGCCCCGTGCTGGAGCTCCACCCGGGCTTCCAGCTGCCGAGGCGGCGGCGTGAAGCGCGCGGGCTCGCGCGGTTTGGGCGCCGAGCCCCGGAAAATTAAGGGGCTGGAGATCTCCAGTATCCTTCAAGCTGGAATCAAGACCATGCCACTTTCTCTTTCTTTTCTTTTTTTTTTTGGGGGGGGGGGACCCACTTTCTTTTTTCTTTTTTTTTTGGGGGGGGGGGAAAGGCTAGACTGGGGGGACCCAGGGTGGATGAATGCACAGATGTGGCAAGAAGCTGAAACCCTCAGAAAGAAACTGACAGCTTCTGCAGGCGAACATGCACCCCCCCACAATCAAAAGAAACAAGCACCAAAAGCGCAGGCCAGCCTTGGACGCCTTCCGGCGCCCTTCCCTCGACGCAGTGCTGGAGCCAGAGGCAGACCGCGGGGCGTGAGGCTTTCTTCTTGGCAGAAGGAACTTGGGGGTTTTACACACCCAAAAAAACCATTCCAAGCACCAAAAAGGACGACTGGGCAAGCAAGCGTGGCAGAAGGGCCAAGAACTCCTCAAAGGTTTGGTGAATGGGACGTGGACAGAGACTTTTTCCTCTGATGGCGCAAGAAAGGACGTCTCCCTCCCTATTGTGCTTTGCATATGTCACGCTGCAGGTTTCATCTTCGGATGAGTCACCATGCAAAAGAAGGACATTAGCCACTAGCCCTCTCGCAATTTTCAGATGTTTGCATGTCCCGGATGGAGCAAACAATTTTTGGATCCCCCGGAGCGGCCATGAGCGACCACCAGTCCGTGGAGGAAAAACCAAAATCAACTTCCTAGTCTATTGTTTTTTGGCAGGACCAACCTGCAGGGCAGCCAAAAGCTATCCCTTGCTAGGTCCCCCAGCTAGGTGCCCTTCTCTACCCCTTTTTTGGTTGGGAGGGTTCCCCTAAAACATACTACCGACAAAAATCGGGTACCCTTCTTCTAACCTCTCAAATCTCATGGGTTTTCCGTATTGAACCACTAAAAGCTAAGCTTTTGGTAGGGGAGCCCCTTGCCCTGGGTCTTTTCCATGGGTTGGAGCGGGGTGAGGTGCTGGCGAGGCTGGCGGAGCTGCTGCGCTCCTCCACGGTCTGGCACGTCTCCCTGCCAGGAGCCGGGGAAAGGGCCGTGGTGGTCAAAACCGTTTTGGCGTTTTGGCGCGGATGGGGAAAAAGGGTTGGGGGGGGGGGGTGGGGAAAATTCAGGGGGGGAGGGGGTGGGGTGGGAGGGGGGGGGCAGGGTTGTTCCATTCAGCCCCTTACCATAGAAAACAGCTGGGGTTTGCTGATTGGCTCTGGTCTTTCTTTTTTTTTTGGGGTAGGGAATCCCACCAATTAAGATGGAACCTGACAGGGGGGGCCTCTTTAAAAGGAAAATTGCCGTGGTGGTCAAAACCAATGGTTCTGCTCTTGCAGGCAGCGTTGTCCCGCCTTAGATTGGGACCGAAAATGGCTTCCTCCCTTGAAAATGGCTGTGGTCAAGACCGTTTTGGGATCCCAACATGGGGGTTGCGGTGAATTCACCACCCATTTTAGGCTTCCTATTTTAGTGGTTGGATTGGGCTTTGTTCACTGGGGGTACGGGGTTTGGCTTTTGACCCATGGCCACATGGCAAGCACCGGGCTGCGGGAAAGGGAAAATCCGCTTCCTGTGACACAGAAAGGACCTAAGCCCAAAGACTACTCCCCCCAACCCCCCAGAGATTTTCCGTGGTGAGAGATGCCCCCCGCTTGATTTGCACACGCGCTTGTCCCTTCGCCAAGGGGGCATCGGAGGAGTTTTTTGTTTCGGCTTCTTGCTTTTTGTTGCCCTCCGCGCATGGTTGGCGTCTCAGGATTTTTTTTCCAACCCGTGGAGCAGGTCACATCTCTCCGCTTACCCCTGGCGTCTCCAAACGAAATTTTCCAACCCATGGGGTCACCCCATGGAGCCCATGACTCGTCAGCCAGGAGCACTGGAAGCTCAGCTCCGGGACGGCGTCTTGGTGGAAAACGGAAAACGGTTCGGCCCTCCGAGCGGCGTTTTTTTTCCGCCCGGGGCCGGGTGGATTGCATGTTGTTAGTTTTAGCCATTGGAAGGAGCCCGGCAAAAAAAAAAGAGGCTACCTCCCCTGATTGGTCTGGATTGGTGGTGTAATTTGTTGGTTTTTGAGGTCCGCCGTCTTCTCATTTTGATTTTGCCGAGTCAGAGCTGCACCCCAGCCATCCCTATGCTGCTTGCTGCATGAAAGCCATATTGCATGACGACCAGGACACGCAGACACGCACATGATTCGGGGCGAACCGCCCGAGGCTTGCACGCGCCGCCGCTGCTGGAATTGGGAACGGAGCTTTCCGGGGCGCGAGGCGCGCATGGAACGAAGATCATATGAGAACGTAGAGGAAAGAGACAAAGGAGACAAGCAGATGCGCGGATGGATGTTGGCATGAAGATGTTTGCTTTCTTGGTCCTTGCAGGTGCGAACATGTGCGAACTTCACTCCGCTAGTTTCTGGACTTTGAGCACTTTCGGGGCAGACCAGTTGAATGAAGAGACCCCGGACTTTTTTCAGACCCTCACGAGATGAGTGTTGGAGGCCTGCCCCTCACAGACGTGAAGGCCCGGGCGTATCTCGATTCTGACGGCGCCTTCGAGTGCTTCCCCGCCCGGCGTGTGGCGGTGCTGATGCTGGGGGACGGCCATGAAGGGAATTTGAGCCCCGGCAGGGTTGATTTCCTCCGGAGGGGATCTGCCGTTTGGCTTTCTTGTTTCAAAACGGTCCTTGCGCATCTTTGCTGCAAACACGATTTTTCCACCTGGTTTCTAGCCGATTTTGGGCGCGGCTGGGGTGCACGCATGCCTCTTTTGTGTTTCGAAGCTCGGGGGAGTCCGTCACATCGCGTGTCGAAAGCTGCCTGGGTGGCACCCGGGCACCTCACTGTGTTGCCGGTTATAAGCGCTTGGGTTTCATTTGGAGCGCCCAGCGATTTTCTTTGCACGTTGCAGATGCGGGGCTGGCGCGGGCCGGTGATTCCCGGGGACGTGTTCGCCCGCGCGAAATGCGCCCGCTGCGTGGAAACGCTTGCGCTGTGCGGCGCGAACACCGGCCCGGGACATGATTGAGCCAGGATCCAGGCAACAAGGCCGTATGTTAAACTTGCAGCCCCTGCAAACAAAGAAGTTCAGGTTCGTAGAGGAGTCAATCTGCGATTTGTTTTCTATGTGAGCAAATCATGAACTTCAGGTTCCTTTTTGAGTTTTGTTTTCTCCCATCGATTTGTTTCTTGGGGGCTGTGCCACTTTCCCTTGGCCTTGCTCCTCACTGATTTGTGGCCATTCTCGCCAAGGAGCATCCGCTCAAGACGAGGCCGCTGCTTTGACCAGGAGGCGGAGGCTACGGGTGTGGCGCCATCAGGCGAGGTGATTCAAATCTGCTTTTCGCTCGTGCCACCCGGCCCATTTGCAGGATGACGGGAATGCGTTGTTGCATTGTTTGGTGGCTACCTCCACGAACGTGAAAACAGGACTCTGTTGCGTGGCAAGGTTGACATTGTTGCACGCCAAATTCTAACTTCAGTTTTGAGCGTGGAGCAGCATTCGGCTGCAAGTGTCTGATGTTTGTCTGCCACTTCATGTTGCATGCGGGGTTTCAATGCCATGGGTGGGAGTTCATTCCCTTCATCTCCTCGGCATCATGCCTTGGCCGCTGCTTTTCTGGCCTTGCTTGTGATCGAGTGTATATCTCCTTTGGGGTTTCTACAAGAGATTGCCCGCACCTGCAGAATCTCTGCTGGTTTCTTACAGCCTGAGCATTCCTTTCACCGCTCGCCGGTGTTCAGCGACTGGGAGGCCTTTCAGTGGGCCGCTCAGCGCTGCTCCACGGCGCGGACGAGCACCAACTCCGCGCGCAACGCGCCGGAGCGCCCTGGATGCTCCGGTGGCTCCGGTGGCTTCGGTGTTCCGATTGGTTGCCATCGGGGCCACAACCCACAACCCCGGTAGATGAATGAAGGTTACAATCCCGGGCCAAGACATAGGTGCGGAAGTCTGCCTTCTTGAGTCTTTGCATGGCCGTGGGTGGGCCATTTTGATCCTGGGTTTTGATTGTGCCTCACTGGGGCCCTGTGGTGCCAGGGACCCAGAAATGTTGAAGTGGCTCCGTTTAAGCCTATTGGGGCTTGATTGGCGTTATCTGTTCGCTGCAAGGCAAGAGCCTACCAACTTATGCTGGAGCCAGTTTTTTGCATGACGCAACAGGCAAAGTAGAAGTCAGCCAGCATCAGAGTGAATGCGTGACCCCAATGTTCAGGACGGCTTCATGCACCACATCCTGGTGCTCTTTTTCTACCTGGGCCAAGCTCCGGCCACGTCCGAGCAGCTTGCAACGGCGTCCTTCCATGAGCACGATGCCTCCATCAAGTACGACGCCGGCTGAGGCCGTTGCAACCTCCCATCAAGTATCAATCCAATGCGCGCAGCCTCTTGCGTCTTTCCTCTCCGCAGAAGGATTGGGCAGCCGCAGGGGGGCCAGGCGACACTGCGTGCGCTAACCCGTTGGGACGGCGGCACTGACGCGCAGCCTCATGTCGGGCCACGAGGATTTGGCGGACAGGGCTTACCTCAAACTTGAGGGGAGGGCACTGAGCCCATCTTGGGCGCTGCTAGGGCTCGCGCTTGCGAGCTCGCCGCTTGACGTGGCGAGCATGCCGGCCGCGATGGGTGCAGAGCGGATGGGCTGCGAATTGCAAGCCGAGAAAAGGTGAGGACCCGCCAGCGTGCAGGGTTCTGACCTCGAATTGGCCAAGAAGGGACTGAGGGCAGATAGGGGAAAAACAGCAAGAGCGTTCTGGCGTTCAGTTTGCTAGTGGGCATAGACTTCTTGTCCCCACACTTTAGGAAGCATCACCCGAAGCAGGAGCTTGGTAAAGCTAAAAGAGTACTCATGCGAAGGAGATGTTTCAAGCCTGTTGAGCAGCTGGCTTCATGCCAGGAGAGAGCCAGCGAAAAGGAAAAGCAGATGCATGCTGAGCTGTCGAAGGCACGGTGCAGATGCCTGCAGAATTCATGGCACTACCCCATGCGGTAAACCCACAAATGGCATGGTTCTGCCGCTGAATCGGCAAATCCCATGGTTTGTTTCCCTTTCAGCAAACCCCGGAAAGGGTGCCCTGAGGAAAGACACACATACAAACACAGACAAAGACGCACGTGCACACACACACACCCACAAACATGCAAAAGCACAATCAAACACGTAAACACGCGCAAACACATACAATCACGCAAAAAAACATCAAGAAAAACAATAAATAATATATAAGAACGCGCAAGCTTACGAACACACACACACACACACACACACACGCAAACACGCAAACACACCCACCCCCCCCCCCACACACACACACACACACACACACACACACACAC